CATCTGCCTCCTGCGAGGCTGTGCGATGCCAAGGGATCACATGAAGAAGTCAGTTTTTTTCCCCTACTGTGGTTGACTATACACACTCTCCTATTGTGCCTCATCAAAGAGCTGATGAGGGAGGAGTGGAGCGTACTGAAAGAGCAAACAGAAACAGAGCTAGGGACAATAGATGAAAGCAGAATAGCGATTCTGTGGAAATAGTTTGTGGACTGTACTACTTCAGGTCAAATTCAGATCTGAGGACAACAGACTGAGCTTTTCTGGAGCAGCACCTAGGGTAGCAGTGATCTGATTAACCATCAGCTTACGGGAAGCTTTGCATTAACTTCAGACAGTTCTGATCTGAGGGAAAAGCATCTGCACTCTCAGGACTCTGGTTTCTCCCTTTCACTTAGGGTTTTTAGATCACATACTCTTCTATTCCAGGTTTAAAGCACTGGACTTGATGGTGAACCATTGGTTTAGCTTTCTAAAACCATCACAAATTTTTGAAACCAGATGAGTATGTGCCCACACACTTGGTAGTAAAGCAAACTTGGTTTGAGGGCCAATGTCTTGTGGAGTTTATGGACAATGCTGAGAAGGCAATACTATTAAATTTCAGGCTTTCGTGTAAGTTATAATGATGCCTTACTTCCTCCCTTAAACATAATTCAAAATTTGCCATGACATCCCCTAGGTAACCACCTGCAATGATTAATTTTTCCAAGGAAAACTTTTTTTGCACTATTGATGCAATAACCTTCTACCACTATATCCTTATACAGGACTAGTCTTTTGTTTTAATGACTTGAAAAATCTCTTAAGATCCTTTACCCAAGACTTTTATGAGCAAGTAGCTCTCTGCTCTGGGAACGTCATCTCCATTACTAACTGTAAAAAGTGGTGCTTATGTATCCCACACCAACACTGAAACATAATCAAATAAGGAATACTGGTTAGATATTAGACACTGAGCACAGCAAAATAGATACACTGAATCTTCAGTAATTGTCAGAAGAACACAGCTTATTGAGAACAGATCCTGCTTCACAGGAATGCAAAATTCTAATTTGTAATTTAGCACTAAAGAGGAAGAGAAAGTGCAGCCTAACATACGTTCCACTGATAAGGCACCCTACATTCCTACTGCTTGTAAAGGTATCACACTGAAAGAAATACAATTTGGATGCTCACACAGTACCCTCAACCATACAAGCATACGATCAAATGTTATTCATGCAACATTATCAATATTCTACTTACCGGTGTCTAAAAGTTGACTGTTCATTATACTGAACAAACTCCTTTAATTTGTTATTTTTCTGGTTATGCATCTCAGTTTCTCAAGTGGGGGCACACTCCTACCCCATCCATTACAAGACCCCTCTGTAATATATTTGCCCAAATCAGTGCACTCAAACTCCTACAGAAATTATCCAACAGCATGAGCCAGCCTGGAAAAAAAAGTCTGCCTTGCTGTGAAAGAAGACATTACCCCACCAGAACTATCACTCTCATGGCTTTTTCTTTTTTTATTTATTTTTTTAATGGAAGCAAAAACCCCTGTCATCTCACCTACTCCTCTTTTAATAAGGAATGACTGCCGTGACTACCCCCATCTAGAACCACCATTCACTGCCAGCACCTCTGCTCTCCTCGTGTGCTTAGAGAACAACTGATTAGCACTTTGCATAATTAACCTGATTAGCACTGTGCATAATCAAACTGATTAGCACTTTGCATAATTAAAAAGAAATAATAATAATAACAATAATAAGCAGTAGGTAATAGCAAAAGCTGCTAGTCCCATTGCCTGTTCGTTAGCTCTAGGATTAGTTTAGTGCAGCATATTTTATTTAAAACTTTTTTTTAAAAAGATGCACAAGCTCACAAGCTCCTGAGAAATAGAAGTTAAAAAAATCTCATCTATTTTCAGATCATTGATGAAAATATTGGTTGTTTCACATTACAACTTAGCATTTCTTTTGCCCTTCTGTTGCAGCTGAAGACATTTAAGAGGAAGATGTCACACTCGATGGACCACTGGTCTTATTCCCACATCTGTCTAGAGTACTGATTTTGGATTCATTATCACAGGATATGGACACCTCACATATACCTGCAATATATTTTGAGCCCAGGAAAGCTGTATAACATTTTTTGTAAAGATGACCAAAGTATTAACACATGCATCCTCAAAAAGTACACACTGAATTCTCTGCCTGCCCTGAACACAGGAAGTTTGGAGAGCAATATGCAATTAATCAGACTCCTGCCCCTAACCCTGTATCTTTCTTCTCCCATTTGAACATATTCTTATCTGCATGTGCATTCGGTGCCCTGCTCAAGATCACATTGCAAGACAAAGCACTGTCCTTGACTGCTAGGCTCCTGCACAAATATCTCAACTGGTGTTTCAGGATTAACACAAATTCTTCAGATTTTGGGACGTGGCTGAAGTTGTTCCTATAGGCTGCAGACTGCATGAAAACAGTGTTAAATATTTATATCACTAGTGACTCAACTCTCCTAGGACATGCAATGCCAGACAGCCTAGAAGTGCGGTGCCCCAAGTGAGTGGGTAAAACATTAACATTTTCTGTTTACTCATGTTGCCTCATACCTCCCACTCACCACTATACGCTGTGTTTCACCTTACTTTATTAATCTCATCTTTCTCCAGAATCTTCATATTACAGCTCAAGTTCTTCTTGTATTCCCATTAGAGTAATCCTCACCTTACATCTTCTGCTTGAGGTACTCTCCTTCCAGAATACCTTTAATGTTCAAGAATAATTTGAATAGAATGAAGGCATTCTCCTTCAAGAACACTCACTGCTGACCCTCCACTGTATCCTTACAACGACCTTGCCTACACTTCCCATCATGTAGGGGACACACATTGCAGCTCCTCTGCTGATGGCTCAGCAAGCACGGTTGGGACATGGAGCAACCAGGGAGTCAGGCTCCTTCTGAGTGATCAGCCCATCTGCCCTGCAGCTGTCTAGACAGGAATTGCTGCCTCTGGACTCAGATGCAGCACATTGAATAGACCTGTCCTAGAACAATGACAAAAATTCCCCACTGTGCTATAGTTTCTCTCATAAATGTTCTCTCATAAAATAAACCAATGAGAAACTGTGGGGGGAAAGAGTAATAAAAGAGCATCTTGTCATAATTAACTGGAAATGTATTACTCATGCACGGGGGCCTCTCCATCACCCCAAGCAAAAGAACCCATATGAACAGCAAAGGGTGCAGAGCTAGTTCCTCTTTTCACAAGTTGTTTAGTTTCTGAAAAGTGTTGCTGTAGAGATTTTTCAAGTCCAAATGTTCCTGGGGAAGGTAGTTCCAGTAATTCTGGGAAGGAAGCCAATCCCTTGGCTTTATGTGTAAATATTTAAACAACATTGTTTTTATATACATACATTTATACACATATACATATATGTCTTTAGATTTCCAGACTTGCAAAACGGGAACTGAAAAAATATGCCGAAGTATAGTTATCAGCTCGCTTGACTGAACCATGACAATTGACCATCAGAAACAAAATACAATACCAACTTCGAGCCACGTTGTCTGTGTATACTAATCCACTCAAACAGAAGAGTGGACAGATCAGAGCTACAGGTTCTAAGGCAGAGAGATTGAAGTCTTAAAATTTATCTCCTTAGAAGTGGCAAGAGCATAAGATTCATCAATTTTAAGCCTTTCGGAGCCTAGATGGACGCTGAGAGCTCCACCCACAGGTGTGGGTTCTCCAGCCTTTAAGGACACAAAGCTTCACATTCCTAGCATTTTAATGCTCCAAGCTGCAACTTTATGTTTAGAAAAGTCACTGCTGTTTTAAGCTTGAATCAGGTTCATACCTCAAAAGGGATTACCTGGTAGAAAATTCCACCAAAGAATGGAAACATACCTGGTGTTGAGATTTAGTGAACAATGTGGAAAAAATACTTTAAAATTGTTGAGGAGGAGGTAGATAAAATGAAGGAAGATGATTTAGTGAGCATAAGGCAGACACTCAGGGCATATGATGAATAAATCAATCCATGAATATAAAATTTACCACATGGACTCCACCTGTATACACTCAGTAAGCAAAAACACACCCTAATACAAAGTACATGCATGCATGATTTAAAGAAATCAAACATTTATGAACACAGGATTTGTGTGTCGCTTCAAATACATATATATACACATAGAACAGCCACTGTGAGTTTTAAGATCAGAGAAGTATACACACAAAAACACAGAGAAGAAAGGACCAAGAGTAGGGCAAGTCTTTTAGAAAATATTTTAATGGCTTTACAAAAAGCCCTCACCCAAAGTTTGAGGATTTTTTGCAATCTTACATTTTCTATTGCAAAATACACCTGCTTTCTTTTCTCCTCCCCCCCCCCAACTAAATATTTCTTCCATCTAATGACTCTCTTTATTAGACAGCATCTAATTTGCATACATTTACATACAATTTAACTGCTAGCTTGTGAGAACAAAGAAATGGCTCGGTATTGTACTGAAGGACAATACTCAGAAAAGGAAGGTATAAAATCCAGCTAGCTCGGTGGCTGTGTATTCTCTTTGTTTCAGAAATACCAGGATTTTTAAACACACCACTTAAAGGGTGAAAAAGATTATTTCATCAAACAATGAAAAAAGATACACTGCAGCTCCCTTTTAACACATTCTCTCTCTGGCCTGGTTAATGGGATTTAAGGGTCCAAGATTTCTTTGCTTTCTTCTGTTTCCTTTATTAGAACTGATGGATTTAATTCTGTCACATATTTTACTTCATATTTTATTCCTATAACAATCTATGCTGAAGTTCAGCTCCAATGCTAATTCAATACTATCTTCCTTTCCTTACTGTCAGCCTGGAACAGGACTGAATGATCTTTGATGGGCATGAAGTAGTTTGCCCTCAATGCCCAGTGCTAATGGATTTTAGAGAGAGTCTGCCAGAATTTTACCTTGTGGCAACAAGTAGAGAGATAATGAAAACTTACCATGTAGCTGACTGGGAATCAACAGGAAGGGAAGCAGGGCAGAGCTCCACTTGTGAGAACAGGGAGGGACTGTGGTCAGAGTAAATGCAGGATGCAAGGGATGTATCAAGCCCCCTAGTTCCCTGGAAGAAGAAGAGAAAAAGATCTTTAAGATGTCACAAAGGCAAAAACCTTTAGAAACAGTTGGCAGAAGCTCCAAGGCCCTACCAAGAGCACAATACGTCAGCAAAAGCTTTTTCTCCACAGGCTTTATAGTGAGGGTACCAATTGCAGAGAATAGCTGCAATTCTATTCCATGTGGAAGCGACATAAAAGTTTCACAGGAAGAAAAAAAGCATGATTTCAGGCTGCATGCTGCACATTTCTATGTCCCCTCAAATGTGTGAAACCCAGCGAAGCACAGTAGTTTGCCATTTGTTGTGGCCTACACAGCAGCTAGCATCGCTGCCCAACTCTCCTCAGCAACATACTCAAGGACTTGTGCTCAGCAGGCCAAGCAATGCCTGCGTTTGGAAAGGCAAAATACTGACATTCAATAGTAGAAGGACGGGGGAGAACAGAAGAACCCATTAGGCTCATTATATGAACCTGTCCTACAGAAACACGGCAGGTGTAGCCCTTTCCAGTGCAGGCAGCCCTATTGAAATCTACTGGAACAAGGCATGGTAACAAGTACTAGGCCAAGCCAGCTTGTTTACCAAGCAGGTGTGGTATTTAGCATTCAGCAATCATCTGCTTGGTTCATTTTGTCCCAGCCACGGTTTTACAGGCCCAGCAGAAGGCCAAGGGTTAACGTGGCAGGCGTTCACACACCCGTGGCACAGGGACACCGTGACAGAAGATGGAGGATCTGCGTTGCGAGCTGTACGTAGAGGAAACTCGTACTGATGCTTCCCTGATGTGCCTCACTGGCACTCAAAATACGTTATAGATTATTTGCAGACACAAATTTTAATTTAAAGCTGGCTGAAATGTTAATGAAGTTTTAGCTGTTTTTCAAAGGGGAAAACTTCCTACTGCTTACAAAAAAAAAAAAAAAAAAAAAAAAAGCCTACCGCTTCCTGCCTGTTCATCTTCTAATGGCATATAGCAACCAAACCCAATAAAAGAAATTAATCAAGCCTTCAAATCATTTTCCCTTTTTCAAGGATGGAAAGGTTGAGGTGTGTGATCTTCAGAAGTTCTGATGCATACCAAAATGCTGGTTTTAGCAAACAGCAAAGAAAGTAAATTCCAAAGCCAAAGTTCCTTTAACTTTCATATCCTGTACTCACGGCTTACATTGCTGAAACCATTGGGTTATTATTTCCAGAACCTTACCAGTGTTGTTCCACTGCAATCTGAGCTAATTTAAATTGCAGCCGCAACAATCTCAGCTTTCCCTCTCGTTTTTTTCTCTCCTGGACACATGTGCCTGACCCTATCCTTGAGCCAGAACTGGGTAACTGGTTCAGGGGGCTTTCAGCTGAATGAATGTTCCTTTTTCATATTTCCAGCCAAATCAACCTCCAGCCGCAGCTCAACATCCACTCATGACATTTTGGGGTTAGAGCTAAGGAGGCAGCAGGACTGTACAAGTGAAGGCACAAGAGAGGCCTTGATGTCAATCAGTTTAAGCTTCTGTGTACCTTCGTCTTGAGAAGTCCAGGGCTGCTTTGGTATGGTGTAGAAGAAAGGCTCCTATCACATTGCTGGAAACCAAAGCAATCACGGCTTTACAGGTAGAAAAAAATGCCACCACCTCACATGCTAACCTAAAATAAACTGACGGGCTATACAGATCATGCAGAACAGATGCAGTGTGCTTTTGATGAAAAATAGCTTGAGATAATGGTGCATTGCTACAATCTGCACCAGGGGCAATTTCCAAGTGGCAGATTGAATTAGCCTCAAGTGACATGCATTACAGTAATGCTTCCCTGAGGCAATAAGGCAAGGTCCCACATTCAAAAGGAAAGAATTGAGCTTTCTTGCCAACGGCAAATGATAAAGCGCACGATTAAGAACCACTGTTACTAGGACATCCAGAAGCTCCTGGAAATCCTTCAAGGACTTCAGAAAATACATTTGGAAATAGAGAGCAGGAATTTTCTTTTTCATCTCTGCAGTTATGATATTAAGCATCTCTTGCTACTTTCTCAGTGCACAACCATTAATTCCAGCCAGAGTGGAATCTAAGCTTTCTAACACCATCATTTCTGAAGTCACTCTGCCCTAGCAATTGTGGGATATACATCTGGATTTCAGGTGAATACAGAAGACATTGCAGTCCAAATGTCCTCTTTTAGCTTGTTTGCTTCATGTGTAACCAAAAAAAAAAATAAATTAAACCCTATGTGAGAGAGATCCTAGGGCAACAAGTAATCACCCAACACCATCATCCACAATTTCTTCAGGAGGAGTCACTAATGAACAACTTGACTAGCCAGTTAACATCCACAGATGATTCATCATCTTGGAAATTACAGTGCTAAGAAAACTAGAAGGAACAGTGTGGATGCTTGATCATTAGTTCAACAACCAATACCAACCTTTTCAGTACCAGAGTCAGTCAGAATTTTCATACCTCAATTGCAACCAGGCCTCAAGGGCAGAATACCAGATCAGACATCAGAACTGGCAGCTTTTTTTCCTTCCACAACAATGAAATAATACCTTCTTATGCAGCGTTACATAACAGCACACGCAATTCTGAAGCAACGGCATCCACACAACTAATTATTTTTATTGCGGCATTATATGTGCTCTGAAGAGATCTGTAGTTACCCTATCAGTCACGAACAGATGCACAGGTTGTTACACAATTTTATACATGTTCAAGTTATGTGACCAATATGATAGCTTGGCTGGTTTACCAACAGGAGATTGCTGTTTTCTTTCAGCTGCCCATAGGATACGGCTTCCCGATAACAGTACAACCCAATCAGGCATACATTCTTGCTGTAGTGTTTCTGAATATTTCTTTCTATAAAACAATGGTCCACTGGAAGACATGCATACACATCAATGTATGTATATGCATACATCTATAAAATACTTCAGTAAATACTTGTAATTAACACCTAATTGCAACAGTATCATTAGCTCATCATCACAATTGTTTGATTAAATGAATTATGTTCTCCAACTTACAACAGTGCCTACATCAGCTTTGACGGTCATTAAAACAATGAGGAGAACCTAAGGATTTTAAATGATGCCAATATTTGAATACTTTTTATTCGAGGGTTCTTGATTGGTTTAAGTAGTATATTACCACAACACCAGCCTCAAATTTTATCTTCACTCTAACAATTCTTGGAACTAAAAGCAGGTGAAACAAACTGCAAACTGTTCATCCAATTTTTCCCTTTCTTTTGTTGTTATATACTCCACTGAAGCAGAGAGATGAAAGTATAAAGTTGGTGTAAGCAGAAGAATAATTCAGTGAAAAGTAGCCCCTCTTGTATCTAATTAAGTTCTGGCATTTATGAATTTCCACTTTTTTTGCACATAGCTGTCTCATTACATTTTGCGTTACACATTATGGGTGGGATTATCAAAAGGAACAATGGTGTGATTCTCTTTCCACTAAAACCACAGTGAAGCAGTTCTAGCTGAATCCATCAGCAGCACATTCAGGCCAGCTTCACAAGCTTTTGAAAATCCTCCCCCTTCCCCACCTGCCTGCAAAGTGGGGAGAACCAGAAGCGGAGCACAAAAGATTCCACCAGCTTGTGCCTGAGTAGCAACAAGTTGCAGCTTGTACAATTCTGTCAAGATAAAGATGCTGAGAATTCCCTTCTAAACATAAACAATATTTCAGAAGCTAGAAATTCTTCCAAACATTCACTTTGACTTGATAAATTTTATTAAATACAATTTGCCACAGCAGCATTTTGAAACATGATAGCTAGAGCATGAATAGGTCATTTTTACACACACAGAAGTAAAATCTATCCAGTTGTGTATAGAGCGTAAATTATGTATGCAGGCCCACACACCCCGAGATAACAAAATTACCCAGCTTGCACACTAAGCAAGTCAGAAACTGTGTATTCAGATACCAAAGTCAAGCCCAAGCCAATCAGTCCTGCAAAGCAGCTGCTATCTCAGTTGCTTATTAGTTCACAAGAACACTGGCCACGACCAAAGGCTTACAGTATGCACTGAACAGCATTGGGTCTGCTTTCAAAAGCCTGCACAAACACAACCATGGATGAATACTATCAGAGGGAGGGGGTAGTACAGAAACCTGTTTTAAAATTTTCCTCAAAACATGATTATTTTTTTTTTAAACACTGAAGAGAAAACCCTTAATCTTCAATACTACATAATAACAGAATCATGCTGTTTTGTGGCAGAATGCTAAGTTTCATTTTCAGCAGGAAAAAAAAGTGTATAATAATTTTCCTGATTTAGATGGGTTTTAGGTCAACCTTAGCTACATACAAATGAATGTTTTGTTCAAATTACAGGGTAATTTTAATTAGGACACCCTGTTAGACATCCTGTTGTTCTATTTAATGGACTTTCTCAATTATGAGAAGAAACACCTCCCCATCCACCCGTGATTCAAGTTAAGGTAAAGATTATGCTAAATAAATATACAAAGATAAAAGATATTTATCCTGCATTAGATCTTTTTATTTCTCTTGATCTTTATTTGGCAACTTCTATATTAAAAGGGCAGAGTTCAGAACTCAGCACCCATTAAACACCTGTTTAAAAACCACTTGAAGCACTGGAAACAGCCAAATATGTCCCAATTAAGCAGAAATGTTGGCACTGCTGTCCCAAGTAAGGAACACCCATTGCCATTTGCTCTCATTAAGTTAAACAGGTTTCTTGGGACATAGCTGAATTCCTGATTACGTGCATTGCAAATGGATGGAGAACACCAGAACAATAAAATTTAATTCGGCATAGCCTTCTGTCCAGTTGTCGAGCACAGTATTTCGGGAGAAGCGGCTGAAGCTTTGGGAAGCGCCCAAGAGTTACATGCTGGGTACAGCATAATTCACTCTTCTGTCAAGGAACTCTTGGTTGACCTGAGAGAATCAGCCCTAGGTTTCTTCTCAGCAGCACTCCCTGAGATTAAGAGCCAATTCCCTTTTCTCAGCATTTCCTCCTCTGTACCTGG